AACATCATCACCACGTAAACTACTACCGGCATCATCCTCACCATCAACATCACAGATAATACTACTACTACGGTCAGCTTCATCATCAACATCACCACAGAAACTACTCCCGTCATTATCATCATCATCATCATCATCCACATCATCAACATCTTCACAGATATTACTACTACTACTATCATCAACCACTCACTATTACAACTAACAACACCACTGCCATCACCATCATCATGACCATCACTCCTGCTGCTACCAGCACTGGTAATTAAATTCTATTCTGCACAACATCTGTATCATAAAATATAACCGTCATCACCATGCCAACACTGCTAACACCACGAGTATCACCACCATTACAGCCATAAACTATTCCGTCATCATCTTTACCATCATCATAATCACAGCAGCCGCCACAGCCACCACCATCATCATCATCATCACCACCATCATCATCATCACCATCATCATCATCACCATCATCATCACCACCATCATCACCATCATCATCATCACCATCATCATCACCATCATCATCACCATCATCATCACCACCATCATCATCATCGCCTAACCCGCACCTCTGTTGAGCGCGGTTGGCTACGTACGGTCCGAAAGAAGTTCAACATACACACATCATCGCCACCACCATCATCACCATCACCACCATGACCATCTGATAACATCCATCTCCTCGACCATCACCATCCCACCTACACATGGACACACACAGCGATTGACTTTGCGCGATCGGCGATTTCTGTTCTTGACCCCTCCCTCTCCCATCCCGCACCCCCTGCCCCCCCCACAGCTACTTTGACAGGCGATACGCGCGGCTGAACCCTGCGGGGGGCAACGCTGTGGGGTCCGTGACCCCCACCGCCCCCCCCTCGGGTTCCTTCACCCTCCACGCGCCTTCGAGGGGGTCCTACTCCAGGGCGGGGTCCCGGGACTGGCGAAAGGGGATCAGCCGATTTGTCAGGAAGGTGTAAAGGGGTCCTAGGGGGTACAAGGGGATTCTGTGTAGGTTTGAGGGGTCGATTGGTGTTGAGGGGGCCCAGGTAGAGCGAGTGAAGGACGATGGCTCGCTCGGCTCTCGGCCAGTGGTGGGGAATTCCACATTCCCACGGCGAGTGCCAGTCTATCCACCAATTCGTGAGTCATGCTCGGTTAGGATCATAATCCTGATAACGATGGTTATTTTCATTTTTTTAAATGAAGCCCATTTTTGAATGGGATTAATTTATCGCCGAATATTTTCTCCCGGCTCTCTGGTAGACTGTATGTTGAAATTCTTTCGCGCCGTACGTAGCCAACCGTGCTCATGAAGTGGAAGGCGACTATTCGCAAGAAGACCTCACAGCGATGAGGTGTACTGGATGTGGCGTGCTGCGTGCCCACGTATTTCCCGGTCGAAGTGAATCCCTGATGATGATGAGTGCGTGACTTCACGCTCGCTATTGCTGCACAATCTGACGCTGGCAGCGATTGTGACTGCCATTCGCTTTGACCGCCATCCTCGTACCTGCTCCGTTGAACCACCGGTCGTGTGTGAAGTCTTAAGGCGCCCGGGCTTTGCAAGGTCTCGCAGCCACTGCTGTTGGAAGGCCAATCCGCTTGATGGAGCTCTTGAGAGAGGTCCGTAATGCGGGTGCTTTTTGGGTTAGATCGTGTAAGCGACGTCATCACATATTTTATTTATTTCACCTTTACTTCACCAGGTAAGGAACCCTTGAGGTTAAACACCTCTTTTGCGAGCGGACCTGGCAAGAAAAAGGAAGGAAACAGGAGGACTTCTCCACAAATCTGTCGCCTGATGAAGCTGGTTGTAATATCTGGCGAAACGTCGTACTCAGATTGTAAATGTCGTGGCTTGGCTCCCCTAAAAACTCCGGTGTGCTGCACAAGTAACAAATTGGCACGTTCTGTTTACGTGACCAACTTTACTAATTGGTTGTGTCAGGTGGTGGCGGGTTTAACGACACATTATATATGTACGCGATCTAACCCAAGAAAACTCTTGTATTCTGGGTGATATAGGCCGCGAAAGCCTCCCACGTGTTAAACTGCCTATCCCCGCGACCTGTCGATCGAGCAGCCAGGTAACCCACTCACACTGCTGGGTGGACGAGGCGGGGGACGAGCCGGGGAGAGTTTAGAAGCTTGCTGTAACACCCCCCCCCCCCCTCTCGTGGTTTCAAATGCCGTGCCGGGAGCTGGAATCGATCCGGCGTCCCATTAAAATTGTCGTGTCCCATGATCGCTTCGGGCGTCATCACGCACGAGAAGAGTTCGTGACACGATGACCACGTGTGTTTTTTCGAGTGTGAGAGAGAGAAAGACGTTGATTGGTCGTTGTTGTTGCGGTGGCTGAACGTCGAAGGCGGTGCCGCCCACGTGTTGATCAATCCAACAACGAAACATATTCGTGCAATCGTGGGCCAAGTGCTTCGTGACTCCGAGTGGCGGGTGGCAGCTGCCAATGCAACTCTGTACCACCCGTGACGCATCGCGGGACGGGGTGGGGTAGAGGTCATGTGTTGAGCGTGGCGGTCGCCCATCCAATAATTATCCAGGCTCAAACCTGCTTAGCTTCCGAACCTGTGTAACCAACTCCACGTTGGACTCCTCGCGTGGGCATAAAGACCCCCCGTATAGCCTTAACAGACTGTAGGGGCAAGTGCTGTTAGCGAGCACCTATGAAGGCCGGAACGGTACACGAGGGGGTGGGTGGCCAGCACCACGCCCGACCGCCTTTGTCTCCCTAGTGGCGATGTTTACACACCGCACCAGGTACTCATTTCAGGCTGAGTCGACCTAGGGGAGGCCCACGACCGGTTCAGATAATCGTCACTGGGTGTTGGCCGTGAGCGGGAATCGAACCCGGGTCACCAGGTTCATAGCGCAGCGCGCTAACCGCTACACCACCGCTCCCCACTCATTGACACGAACTTGCGCGTCGCAACGCATTCTTGCAGAGGCCGTTCTCTCAACGCGCACGGACATTGATGCACAACAAGTCACGTGCAGAGAGAGGCTCTAGCGCGATTTTATTGTCGCGTTGTGCAGGTACAATAATGATGAATAATGCCGATCAATAATATCGATGCTGATCAGTAATGGTGATCAATAATACCGATGCTGATCAACATTGGTGATCAATAACAATGGATCGGGCATCGCGACACGCTCCCGGCGAGTTTGATTATTACTGGTACAATTATTAGTGTTTTGCTGTTAAAAGTACATTTATTTAAAAATAATAATAGACAGATAATTACAAAATTGCATAACATTTTAACTTACATTCCGACTCTCGTCCCCCCCTTTTGAAATTCATTAACACACACACTGGATGTGATGTGCAGAGGAGTGTTGCCAGTTCAGGTGGGTTACCTGTGTTGCCTGTACAGGTGAGTGCTATGCAGGTATGGGGGGAGTCACCTGATATGATGACACGCCGTGACCCCGGCTGCCCACCTCCCCAACCCCACTAATGCTGCCCTTCCCAATGCCGACGACCCCCACCACTGCCTATCTGTTGCTGCCCACCGTGATCCTTTGCTGCCTTCCCCCCCAACCCCTCTACTGCTGCCCTTCACAATGCCCACTGCCCCCGAAGGCAAATCCGTTTCTATGTAAATAGGAGACGTTGGCTGCGTCGAGCGGTGCTGCGCTCTGCGCGGGGATTCTGTGTCCCGCTTATTTCGTGGTCACTGGTCACCAGGGCCAAGTCCACTGCTCAACTCGATGAGGCTTTCGTTCAACGAGTCGTGGCTGAAATCCAGATCCGAACCCGTAATGACGATGATCTCAAAGGGGTGGGCCCGGCTTCTCCGACAAGCCAGGAACCACCAGGTCACCTCCCGGTTGTGCTTTAATCTTTGATTTTACGCCCATACTGGATCCTCCTTGAACCAACCCAGAGACGCACACGTCCTCCTGCTGCTCCGCCTCCTCCTCGTCTTGGCTCCACATTAACATTGGTCTACAATCTCTCAAATCTTCCCGCGACCTTCCCGTGCCTTCCGTCACTTGCGTAAACATTCCATCCTCCTAATTCATAGCCGCCACCGCCACCGCCGCCGTCGCTGCGCGTCCACGCGGAGTCGCGTACATTCAGAGTCGAGGCCCGGCGAGGCCTCTCAAGGCCTCGCTCGCCTACAATTCAAACGTTTCCGGTGAATGAGTCTAAGGGGGGTCAAAGTGACATTCTGCCACGAAGACAGCCGATCGCTTTTCTGGATTTGTTTCCCCGTTGTTGGTGATTGACACATCGGGACAATTTTGCCGAAGTTCCGACTGGAACATTCGGCAACACGGTGGGAATCCGTCCCAAAAGTGTTTTTTGGGTACCAGGCAGTGCTCATCTCGCCCGTTTGGTGGCCCGGAGTCAGACATGGAAATTCCACATTCTTAATGGCAAGGGCGAGTATCAAAACAATAACCATACATTGCGTATAAAGCAGAAAACATTAGTACAAACGTTTGACAGCAGCTTGCTCGTGGAAATGCAAACGCGAAGGCGAGATCGAGAGAGAAATAAAAACAGTGATTTGCATCTTTCTGGGAAATGATTGCGGCGTCAGAAATGATGGCGGAGGGCGCGGGGTTAAAGGTCACCGTGAGCGCTAGCCGGCGCAAGCGGTCGCTTTTGAGAGTTGTCGTTGCTAAGGAACTGGGACTTCGATGACATCGGTGAGCTAATAAATAAAAAACCCAACAATACTCGCGGGATGAGACAAAATCTATCGGATGAGATGAACGTTGTAAAAAACGTAACTTTAAATAAAAATAAAAAATAGCAACAACGGTGATGATGATGCCACAAATTAATGACGTCAAGATTTTCACAACGGTGCTCCCAGGGCAGGGCAGGGAAAGGTCACCGATTCGTCAGCGTCGACGTCCGGCTCCCGTCGTGAACTCAACAGCCGTCTGCTCCGGATGTCGATGGTTACATTTACCTATTTAATTATCGATTTTAGTTTTGCTGCTCGCGCTCAGTCGAGGCCGAGGGCCTCGGCGCGCTCGCCCTCCGAGGCGCCGGAGTCTCTCTGCCGGACGATGCCGGAATCCTCCGACCCTTCCTCGAGCGGATCCCGCCCGGAAATCCGGGACTCCGACTCCGGAACGCCGAGCGCGTCCAGCTCCTTCCGGATCGACTTCGGAACCAACTCCTTGTCGGCGCTCTGCTGTTGCTGCTGCTGCTTGGACTGCGCCGTCTCATCCCCGGCGTGCTCCCCCCGGCTCGCGCCGTTCGCGAGTGCCGGCTCGCCCGATCCCGCCGAGTCGCGGTCCGGACTGCCCGAGTAATCCCAGAAGGAATTCCCGAAGGAGCGCTGCGTCGGCTCCTCCTGTAGGAACAGCAGGCGCATCTCGGCCGAGCAGGAGAAGGGGTCTTCATCGTCGTCATGGTCGTGGTGGTGGTGGTCGTCGATGTTGTTGTTGTTGTTGTCGTCTCCGTCGTCGGTGGTGGTGGTGGCGGTGTGGTGGTCGTGGTGGTGGAGCTCCGTGGCGGAGCTGTTGCTGGTGTTGCTGGTGGCGCTGGGCGGCACCATCATGTCGTGCGTCGTCTTGAGGGCGCGAGGGACGCGCTTGCGAGCGGGCGGACGGTGGCGGCGGCTCCAACCGGGGGAAGGTGTCGGAGGCGGCCCTGGCAGGGGTCAAAGGGCAGGGCCGTAGGCAGGGCGTGACACTCGCACCCACATCACACACACGGCACACGCACGCTCCACGTACACACCACACACTCCACGTACACCCACATGCATACGTGTGCACACAAAGTACACGCACGTACATTCGTACACGAAAAGTCCAAGCACTTGCGCGCGCACACACACACACACACACGTGCGTGTGCAGACGTGCTGGCACTGCACAGATAAACACTCGTGTGCGTCAGCCCGTGCGGTGGACCAGTGGCTCGTGGGTAGGATCGACCGCAGAGATTTTTCCAGGGATGAATTTCGAGTTGGATCGGTGAACCGCGCTGATGGAGGAGGGTGGATTGAAACGCCGGTTGCTGGCCGCTTGGTGTTTTTGGTGTTTTTGGATCTTTTGAGCCCGGCCAGCCATCTCAGTCAGTCAATACATGGCACCTGGTTGGTTCTGTCCCGTGACCTGCCAGCGGGCGTTCGACGCTTGACGTGGCCTTAAAGTGCACCTAGCCTGGCACAAGCGCTGTGGTTGCGTCACCGTCAATTAGTGGTGAATGGCGGTTGTTGTTGTATATACATACAGAAATCTTTGTCTTTTTTAGCCTTAACAAATTGTTGGGGTAAGTGCTGTTAGTGAGCACATGAAGGCCGGCATGGCACATGAGGGGGTCGGTGGCCAGCACCACGCCCGGCTGCCTTTGTCTCCCAGTGGCGATGTTGACACACCGCACCAGGTACTCATTTGAGGCCGAGGCGACCTAGGGGAGGCTCAGGACCGGTTCAGATAATCGTCAACGGTGTGGGTGGCCATGAGCGGGAATCAAACTCCGGCCGCTACACCACCGCGCACACACACACGCGCACACACACACGCGCACACACACGCGCACACACACACGCACCCCTGTTGCGTGTGCGCGATCGCTCACCTGCGCGCCAGGTGAGGAGCCGCCGCCATCGCCATCGCCGGGGCGGTGCTCCACGCGCCGCCCCCGCGTCCCGCTGCTCCGCCGCCGCGTCCCACGCGTCGCTCGGCCAACGCTCGGCGGCTCCCAGCGCCGTCCAGGTGGCGCGCCCCCCGCTCCCCGGGGTGGGGGGGCCCCGCTCTTCCTCCCGGGGAACGGGGGGGGGCCCCGGTGCCGCCACCCCCGGCCCCACCCCGGCCGCCGCCGACACCCCGACGACAGGGGTGCTAACCGTGACGTGCCTACCCTTGGGCATCGGGGACGCTGAGAAACTGGCGTTCTCAAAGAGGCTCTGATCGACTGCGGAGGAGGAGGAGGAGACACACGGGAACACGGGGTCACGATCATAGTAAGAGCAGCGATGTTTAAGCGTGTCATCATCGTTCGTGCATATTGCTTCTCACAATCGCCGACAAACCACAGGCACGAGCTGTCGAAGGCAGCAGCAGCAGCAGCCAGGCAGTGACGAGCGGCGCTATCGACAATTGCCCAAGCGCCGCGCGTCCTCTGTTTGTTAAAGATGCGCATTGCGTCGTTGCCTTTTACGCACAAGGCGATGACGACGAGCGGGCCGGTGAACGATTGCCATCGCTGCGACGAGAAAATGGAACGGAACCGTGGGGCAAGCAGGGAAGGCTGCACGGGGAACGGCTATGAGCGAGCGGCGTGCTGACGGGACGAGATGAAATGTGACGACGATTCACAGATGACGACAAAGACGACGACGATGATGATGATGATGATAGGGACAAGGGACTCGTAAGCCGGGTCCACACCAGGCTGATCAGTTGCGCAAGTTGATTGCATGCAACCGAATCCCAACTTGGGTTGCACACAACTGATTCGCAGCTCGGTCACTCGCAACTGAATCTCAATTGGGTTGCATGCGAATACATTTATTGCATTTGGATGTCCCTGCAACCAGAGGCCAAGTGGCGTGACGATGTCAGGAGCGTGCCGGTTATACCCAGTGGACGTGGCGCAAAGTCTGCACAGCGACGGCAGGCAAAACGGAACAGAATGAGAGCGAACCGCCGCGGCCATGCGATACCGAGAGGGGCCCTGGGACGCGGCCCGCTGACACGAAACGTCGGACTTCCTTACCTTGGCGCTCGGCTCGGCTCCACAATGGAAAGCACAAGGAGGAAACAAATAGTTTTGTTGGTTCAGAAAAAGTCATCAATTGCCCTCACCTGCCCCCTCGAGCCCCCAGATCCTCATCCCTGCTCTGCGACCCCTGCTGCCCCCCCACCCCTGCCCCCCCCCTTAGGGTCCCTGCCGCCCCCCACCCCTGCCCCCCCCTTAGGGTCCCTGTGGTCCCCACCCCTGCCCCCCCCGTAGGGTCCCTGTGGTCCCCAGGCCTTGCTCCAACCCTCGGGCCGGAACTCAAACAAATCCTTCCTGCTCAAAACGAGCGTCGAGTCGGTGGGTGGCCCAACTCTTGTTTATGGCCCCCAGCCAGTGGTGGAAATTCCACATTCCCCCAACAGAGCGGCACTTGTTTGACGGACCCCGGAGGGACGTTTGTCTGCGTGGACCCCGCGAGCCCCGCGCACGACGAGCGATGTGGCGAGTACGCGGCGTCCCTCGACCCCCTGGCGACCGCTGTGAGAATCGACGCTGAACGCTCCGGTCAAGGCCTTGCTGCTGACGCGGCAGCGTCTTTATTCGGTGACAGTCGCGGACGCACGGCTCGGCCGACGGGAACTGCGCTCGAGTGCGGCTGTGGCCACCGCGGCGCCGAGTTGAGTCCGGCGTTAGCCGTCGGCGGAGACGTCCGCTCGAGTTGCGCCGCTCGTTCGTTGTTTTTGTTGCGCAAATGCAAACCGCCCGCGGGGGAAGAGAACCACCGGAGATGAAGCCTATCCAGAGATCCTGGTCGCTTCCAAAATATTAAGATATATATACTGTGTATGTTTTTGTCACAAGCGTCCCGCACTCACTTCAAAATTGGCCACTGAAATGTATCCCTGCCGCGCAGTAATGTTTCCGCGTGTATTTTGTTGTTGTTTGGTCTCGTTCACAAGGTCGAGCGGACGACCGCATTAACGCCGAAGCCTTCACGAACCCTGCAGCCTGACCTCGTGTGAACGGGGGATCGGGGGGGGGGGGTGGTGGGGGGGCAGTCAATGTTCAACAAACTCTGAACGAACCTCGGCACTTAACTTGTTCCTGTTAATGGTTCATGGCCATTTGTCACACTGGAAAATGTTGACGAAAAATCGCCGCCCGCTGTTAAAAACGTTGCACCGATGAAAATAATTTAGAAGGGTGAGCTGAGGGGAGGGGGGGTGGTCAACTTCATCCTGCCCCCCCCCACACACCACGGAGTTGCCCTCCACCAGCCCACCAGTCTGTACCGCAGGTGAGGTACCACACTCTCTCCAGAAAGTGGCGCCATCAACCGTCGCCACGAACGCGGTCGAAATCTTTGGTTCCGGTTTTCCTTCTGGCTACTGTTGTTGTGGATGACCTCGGTCGGTGCACAGCTCCTGAATCAACACCACGGGGTACGTGCGGATCCTTCCGGGTGGGTATCGCTCGCCGCCGACGTTAGCCGTGGACGCGAATGAAACTTGGCCGGCGGGGGGTTCGTTGGCGCGGCGCTCTTACAGACGGGCTGCGCGTGCAATTTCAGTGGCCAATATCAAATGTTACGACGTACACGGAGATCCCAAGTACACATCTACACATCGATACCGCGCGTGTACGATGCCCCCGCACGCGGGGCGCCGTCTCTTCCGCACGGGCTGCAGAGAGACGGCGCCCGTCGCTGTCAAGTGCACTTGTATAGCGTGAGACGGACACCTAGCCTGGCACCTCCGTCACGAGGAATGGGGGTCACAGCCGGAGAGTGGTGGGGGGGGGGGGGGGTGAGCAGCACCGCACGGCACCCGACGGATAGCAGCACAGCAAGGGGGATTGAATCCACCTGTGCGGGGCTTTGAGTGTCATGCCCTGAACGGCGACTGACAATTCACGACGGGCGATCGGTGCGGCAGCGGGAGGAGGAGTGGGTGGGGTTGCCACCACCAATCCGGGACGTATCCTAACCAGCAGCAAACCCCCACACCAGCGGAAGAGCGGAGAGCTGCTCGTGGCTCCGTCGTCTTGAGTGAGCCGTGTAACATCACAATTATTATTATAATCACGCAACGGACCAAAAGCCGGGGAGACTTTTCGCTTCAGAGATGTCCCAGGGCAGCAGCTGCCTCCCCAACGAAGAGAACGATCCTGGGAAAACCAGGACGGGTTGCAACCCCCCCCGCCGCCCCCGTACTTCGGGCGTGGTGGGTATTGTGATGGCGAGGGTGTGCGCTGCGGTCGCTGCGGTGTCGCTGCGGTGTCGCTGCGGTGTCGCTGCGGTGTCGCGTGGAACCGCTCGGGGGGCCTCGAGCCGCGCACATCTTTAGCCGTTCTCGTTCACGCGACGCGTACAGCGAAACAACACGTTTAGCCCGGAGTACTGGCGTCATTCCAGAGTGAAACTCGCGTGTTACTGGCGTCATATCGGATTCATACTGGCATCATTCCGGCATCATATTCATTCGTCATACTGGCAAAACACTCGCGTAATGCTGCCGTAATATCAGCATCATACTCGCGGCTTACTGGCAATAGTGATAACAGTGAATGTCCAATTAATGGACGAGCTATTTGAAGAAATGGGTAAATAATTTAAGTGAAACTAAGTACGTTATTTTTATTAATGAATAGTGAAATTAAACCATTCAAGTGGTTTCCTGCTCATACGGTCATGGGGGATGAGGTTGGGGGGTGGCGGACCAGTGGTGACAATTCCACATTCTTATGGCAGGGATTAGCCGTTCCATAGGCCAAGCACCAGTTGACTTCACGCATCGTAGTACTCGTTTTATCCACCCCAGGGGGATGAGTCAATCAATGCCCGACTTGACCTGCATGTGAACTCGCTACTCTCCGCTTGCGAGCGAAGCGAGTCTTAGCCGCGGGTTCTAACATAACCGTGGGTAAAGGGGCAGCCCTGCAATTGCTCACTTGTGCCAATTGTGGGTGGAAGGGCCTCCACCGGGGGGGAGCTCCAGAGAGCCTCGCTCTTCACAGGGTGCTTGGCCTACTCTTCCACACTGTTCCAGACGTTTTAGAAGAGGTGGGAGTGCCCACACTTTGCCCCACCACACACACGACCTGCCGATCATGGGCTAACTTGTGGTGAACCCGCTTACACCGCTGGGCGGAACAAAGGCGGTTGGGCGGGGTGGGGGGAAGATTGAATCGACCGACGACTTCTGGATCGCCAGTCCAGCAGCGCGCTGCTGACCGTTACAGCACGGCAGCGTCCCCGACAAAAAGACACCGAAAATAAACAACAATAACAACAATAGCAACAACAGTAACGACAATAGTAAAATACGAGTGGTGAAATTATATCACAAGACACCGCAAGCGGCCAGTGGCTACACGATGACTGGCTTGTTTCTCACGGCTTCTCCACAGCCTAGGCCGTGACCCTGACGCCCAGCTGCCTAAGCCAGGCCGAGCATCGCCTCGGCTAACTCCGTCCCCACCTCGTCGCCCTCCTCCCCCTCCTCGTCATCGTCGTCGTCATCGTTGTCGTCGTCGTCCTCGCTGGAGTCGCTCTCGAGGGCCGATGCCGGACTCCTGGCCGTGCAGCATCTCGAGCGAGAAGCAGCGGCACACGGCCGGGTCCCAGCCCATGCGGGGCCCAGCGGGAAGCTGAACCTCTCGGGCCGCGAGCCGCCACCGCCGCCCCTCCTGCCCACGGCGGGTGGCGGACCGACCCAACTCCGTCGCGTGCGTGGCACCCGAGCGCCACCTCCGGCCCATGCCATTCTCGTGCGCGACCCCGTTCTGCACGGGAGCCTCCTCCTCTTCCTCGCCATCCGCCGGGAGGCGTTCCCTCGCGTCGCCCCTCGCGCGCGACCCCTCCCCTCGCGCCGCGACGCCTCGGCACCGCCCGGCGAACCGTCGCCGGCGCCGGACCGCCCCGCGGGCGACCCCTCGCCCGTCCCCCTCGGTGGCGGCGACGACGGCGGCGACCGCGGCCCTCGGGCCGTCTCCTCTCGGCACGCCGGCGGATCGGCGCCGCTAGGCGGCCGCCGCGGGGCGATTCCGACCGGCGCCGCGACCGCGTCCGCGGCGACGGGCGTCGCGTTATTAACGGCGGCGGCGACGGCGAGGGCGCACGGGTCGAATCGCCGGTCGGCGTCGCTCCGAGCGGGCCGCGTACCTGCGAGGCGGAGGCCGAAGCCGTCGTCGTCGCCGCCGCCGACGGCGTCCCGGCCGCCGGCGACGACGGGGGAGAGGCCGACGTCGGCCGGCCGCGGCGTGCACGGCCCGCACAGTAGCAAGGCCGGCTGGGGCGGCGAGCTCACCGCTGTGGCCCACGACACGTCGGTCACACTCAGCCGGCTGGCACCTGGGGGTGGGGGTGGGAGGGGATTTTGGTTAATCCCGAAGATGCCACGGTGGCGGTGGTGGGGGAGGTGTTGTAGATGTCAGAGGTTGTGGTGGTTGTGATGGTCGTGGCGGTGATGGTGATGACACCGGTGATGTTGGTGATTGTCTTGAGAGAAGTCGGACTTGACCTCCCCCCAGCTACTGGGCCCCATCGCAAAGCGTGGCCGCGATGATGACAGTGAACACGGTTTCTCTTTCTGATGGTTGTTACGCTGATGATCGTTGCATTCATATCGGCGATAATAGCAGTGGAGATGGCGATGACCGTGGAGATTACAACAATGACATTTATCTCCCTGGTGGAGCAGACATTGGTGGATATGATGATGGTGTTAGGGGTTGTGATGCCGTACTGCCGGTGTGCTGGGCCAGGCTGATCTCCAGGCCCTGGATCTCTTTGACGAGGGCGCTCACGTGACCCAGAAGGTCGCGGTTCTGCAGCAGCAGCTGGTGCGTGCGGGCCTGTGCCTCCATGCGCGCCGCGCACTCGGCACTCAGCTGGTCCTTGAGCAGCTGCACCTGCGGCCAGAACAACGTCATCGTCGTTAAAGTCTTCATCATCATCGTTGTCAGTCATCGTCGTCATCATCGCGACTGCCGGCCCCCTTCCCGTCTCGCCGCGTCCTGCACAAGGCCCCCGCGGCGCTCCCTCGTCCGGGCGGTCCGCGCGCCACGACGCCGCCCGCCCTGGCACGCGCAGCGGCAGAGCCGGAGACCCCGGGGAACGCCGGGCACAGCGCCGTGCACGAGCGGGCGGCACTCGGAGCTGCCACATCCCGGCCTCGCAGCCTCGCGCCTACAACACCCGGCAAGCCCCCCGCTCGTCTAGATTACCAAACCCAAGCACTTGACCCCGCTTTGCTCAGGGATTCAAGGGCGGTGGTGGTGAGTCGGTGCGGTGGTGGTGCCGGTGGTGCGGTGGTGGTGCGGTGGTGGTGCGGTGGTGGTAGCCGGTTACCTGCGCCACGGCCACCTGCGTCTGCTGCTGTTGCTGCAGCAGCTGCTGCTGCAGCAGCTGGATCTGGTGGTGCGTGGAGAGGGGCATGCTGGGAGAAGAGCCCATGCCCAGGTGCGGAGGAGACGCCGCTTGGGGAGAGGCCGGTGGGAGGCCCTGTGGCCACATCGCATGGAGCGGGGAGCCGGTGGGGGTTGGGGGGGGTCGGGAAGGGGAGACGGTACGGGAGAGAGGGGGGGGCAATAAGTACGTTAGCCTTGAGCACTATCACCATCATCATTTGGTTCTCCAGTTTGATCACCATCATCATCGCAATCATCTTTACCTCGACCGTGATCACAATCTCGATCCTTAACATTGTCAACAATATCTTCAGCATCACAACGATGATGACCAATACCGTGACACGAGGCACATCATTGTCATGATGTGCTTCTTAACCGAATCGATGAATTCCAACGCTCCCCACGCTCCGTGCCACCTGTGCCGGCGTCTGTGCGTGCGGCTCCGTCGTGTCCAGGTCGGTGAGCCCCGGCCGCCGTGCCGGCTCGGCGAGCCCCGCGGGCGAGGGGCCGTCCTCGGCATCGATGTCCGTCTCCACTGCCTCCCCGGCCGGCACGAGCGCGGCCGTGCCGTTAGCTGCGAGTGCCGATACGGTCATCGCTACTGCCACCATCACCACCACCGTCACCACCGTCACCACCGTCACCACCATCACCACCACCGCCACCATCACCACCACGACTACCATACTGCTACCATCACCACCACCGTCACCACCATCACCACCATTACCACCACCATCACCACCAC